TGAAGGAGTACTCCATCCGCGGTGTGAAGTAGTGGCCTCGCGGTTCTGGTCATACCGTGGCAAACATCTTGTGCGATTAGAGTCGCCACACACGCACGTATGCACATATATGGCAGTAGTTAAGACAAACCTTTTGGGCGTGCGTGAAACATGCGGCCATTTGCCGTACATACCATTTACCCAATTTTGCTGACACGATCCAAGACGCGCAAGTGCCAATCACTGTGGTGAGGAAAAGGCTATGTACGTCACCTTTAAGCACGCTTCCCAATCTATGCGTTGAAGGAAAGCTACGGTTCAAACTCCTGACTAATTTGTAATGTAATTTTCATTTTCAACCAGCCTAGCTCAATTTAGAATGAATCATCTGATGGCTTTTACAGCCGAACGAATCGCGTTGTAATCACAATTGTTGCATTTTTTAACGACCATAATAATTCTTCTTCTTCTTTTTTGGCGCTGTAACCGCCTAAGCGATTTTGGCCGAGTTCAGCAAAGCACGCCAGTCGTTTCTCCTCTGTGCCAACTGACGCGAATTGGAAACGCCAAGTGAAGCCAAGTCCTTCTCCACCTGATCTGTCCATCGCAGTGGAGGCCTCCCTCTTCCTCTGCTACCACCAGCGGGTTCCGAGTTGAATACTTTCAGAGCTGGAGCGTCGGTGTCCATTCGAACGACATGACCAAGCCAGCGGAGCCGCTGTATTTTAATTCGCTGCACTATGTCCATATCGTTGTAAAGCTCATACAGCTCATCGTTCCATCGTCTGCGGTACTCGCCGTCGCCAACGCGTAAAGGACCGTAAATCTTCCGCAAAATCTTTCTCTCAAACACCCCAAGAGCCGCCTCATCGGATGTTGTCATTGTCCATGCTTCTGCGCCATATACCAGCACGGGCAGGATGAGTGACTTATAGAGCGTGGTTTTCGTACGTCGAGAGAGGACTTTACTCCTGAATTGCCTACTCAGTCCAAAGTAGCACTTGTTGGCAAGAGTGATTCTACGTTGGATTTCAATGCTGACATTATTATCGGTGTTAATGCTGGTTCCCAAGTAAACGAAATTCTCTACTTTCTCGAAATTGTAACTGTCAACAGTGACGTGGGTGCCAAGGCGCGAATGTGCTGACTGTTTGTTTGATGACAGGAGATACTTCGTCTTGTCCTCGTTTACCACCAGACCCATGCGCTTTGCTTCCCTATCCAACTTGGAAAAGGCAGAACAGACTTCGCGGTTTTTGTTACCGATGATGTCGATGTCATCGGCATAAGCCAGCAATTGCACGCTCTTGTAGTAAATTGTTCCTGAGCGGTTCAGTTCTGCAGCTCTTATTATCTTCTCCAACATCAGATTAAAGAAGTCACATGAAAGGGAGTCGCCCTGTCTGAAACCCCGTTTTGTGGCGAACGGCTCGGAGAGGGCTTTTCCAATTCTGACGGAGCTGGTGGTATTGCTCAACGTCATTTTACACAGCCGTATGAGTTTTGAGGGGATGCCAAATTCAGACATAGCGGCGTATAGGCAACTCCTTTTAGTGCTGTCAAAAGCGGCTTTAAAGTCGACAAATAGGTGGTGAGTGTCGATCCTTTTCTCGCGGGTCTTTTCCAAGATTTGGCGTATTGTGAATACCTGGTCTATGGTGGATTTGCCAGGTCTAAAGCCACACTGATAAGGCCCAATCAGTTCATTGACGGTGGGCTTCAGTCTTTCACACAATACGCTCGATAAGACCTTGTAACCTATGCTTAGAAGGCTGATCCCGCGGTAGTTGGCGCGAATGGCGGGGTCACCTTTCTTTCATAATAATTATAATAATAATATTAGATTGGCGCTTACACATATGTTAGTGTTTGGCCGAGCTTCTCCTCCGATTTGTGGCGAGCGCCTTAATGTTGTCACACAAAGCGGAGGGACCTACAGTTTTACCCCGACTCGGTGATTGTATTTTTATGAGAAGCTGTTTTTCATGGCTGAAATACACTCGGAGGTTTGCCATTGCCTGCCGAGGGACGACCGCTTTTAAGAAAAAACCTTTTTTCTATATTTTCGTGGGGGGTAGGGGTGGGATGAAAAATATTATATTATATATTTTTTATCTACTCGTTTATTCCATGGGGTATTAATGCTTTATTTAAATTTAAAAAATTAAATTACTATACCGTTTTAAAAATCTGAAAATTCACTGCGGGAAATTTTTTTATTCTCTTTTTGTCCTCGCCTTCTCGTTTTTGCCTTTATAAGTTTTGAAAAAAGGTCTTAAACCAACCATTATATCACATTCCTAGGCAAGTTTTGAAAGAATATGTTCGATACTAAATTGTATTAAAACAAAATTTTGAAATCAGCTTCATATAGAAACAGTGTCAGCGTTAATTAAGAAAGAGATGTTCTTAAATATCATAACTTTACGACCCTCACATATTGACTAGATTTGACTATTTATTTTATTATATTTTAATTTGAATTATTTGTTTATAAAAATATAGTTTGTTCCTTAACAAACACTAAATGAAAATAAGTTTAATCTTTGAACAACATTAAAAAAAAAATCGAGAAACTTTCGTAAACCTTTCGAACTTTCTATTTCAATTTTATCTCTTAATATTTTGCAGTTTTTCAGCTCATTCAATTTTAGTGTAATAAAGTGCAAATTTAAAGTAGCACAGTGTCAGCGTTACATGTTAAGTACAGTTTATGTATGGCATATTTTTGACGATATCGGTAGTTTTCTTCCATATTATCTAAGTATGTTCGACGATTTTTTTTTATGAAGAAAATGAGCAACGCCTTCATCAAAAAAAAATTTTAAAAATCAACGATAAGTTGCAGCTATGTATTTTAAACTTGCGCTTTACTTGAATTGATCGGGCTACAAAACTGCATACTCAAAATATGTATTTATAGGAAATCTAATTAAAAAGCTTTACGAAAGTTTGTTGCTTTTGTTAATGTTGCGCAAAGATTAAGCCTTGGATTTATACGGGTTTTGTTAAAGTGTAAACTGCATTTTTATAAACAAATAATTAAAATCATATAATTTTAAGATAAATGGCCAATCTAGTTAACATGTATAAAGTTTTGATAAGCACTTGAAATGTCAAGTTTTAGTACTGAATTCAAAGAAGATGTCTCTTTTATCCATTCATAATAACTTTAAAAAATTTGTTTGTTAGGAAGTGTTTCTTAAAATATCTGCCTTGACATTTATGTTAAAAGTGTAAAATATGTAAATGTACCTACATAAACTTTCCCGTGAATACCATCAAAGCTTTGGTCTTGAAGGGAATCTATGTATGCATGCATGCATATGAGGAAATTAAAAAATCGATACAATTTAGAGTCGTAAAGAACAGTTTTTGTATATAAGCAAAATTGCGTAGTGTATTTCGCAAATATTCAAATACATAATCCACCAACCGATAATTTTATATATTCATTAAAAGACAACTTGTCATCAGTCTGAAATAAAAAAAATTATAAATCGGAGGGGTAAAATAGTATTATGTTATTAATTCAAAAATAAAAAGTTTCATTTCACTGACGAGGGGGGGAGATTATCCCCCAATCCCCCCTGGCTGCGCCACTGCATACCAAGAAATCCTTTAATTTAGTGCAAAACTTTTTCTGTAATATACTGTAAAACATGCTTTTATTTTTAAATGGAGATACTGCGAAACGGGATTTTTGCGCAGCAATATACTACAGTTTTTTGACCGAAAAAGATACGAGCGTTACGTATACAGGTTGAACAGGTTCTATAGGTTGCACGACTTGTGGAACCAAAATGATAAATTTGCTAATTGCTGGTCACTAGAGTGTCAATGCACTTAAACCCAGCCACCATTCATTTGAACTACTATTAAACTGTCAATATTTCTATTTACACAAGATTTTAACTGTCTGTTTAATTATAAACTAATTTCCTACATAAATATATATGTATTGTATTTTGAAGTGAGTTGTTTTCATTATTTTCTTGTAAAAATACACGTGTTGTTATTTTCTACCAGGAATAAAATATTAGGAAAATATTTTTAATTGCATATTTTACTTGTTTATATTGTTTATTGTTTTGGGTACATGTTATATGCGCACATTTTAAATTTTTGAGTGATTCCAACCCCTACATATTAAGTGTGTATTTTGTATATCGACACTTAAGTGGAAGATCGACTTATCTCGGCAGCCAGTTCGAAAACGCCTAATCTCAGAAAACTTTTCTAGAACGCCCTATTTCAGAATTTGGTTGAAGAACGCCCTATCTCAGAATTCGGCTCAAAACTGCCCTCTCTCAGCACGTTTTCAATGTATTTTCAGCTGGATATAACACCATGTTCTGACCGACAACGAAAAAACTTGGAAAACAAGTTTTGAGATTGTGGGCTGAAGGCTGTTCACACCGGCTTTTAGTGTTTTCGTTGACATTTCTTACATCCTTTGTTTACAATTTTGGTACAAAAAACCAAAACCAAAATAATTTTCTTTAATTTTCTTCTCATTAAAAACCTTTTTCTTTTATTATTATTTTAATTTGGCCAGCCAATTTACAAAAAATCCGAACTGGCATATTAAAGATGATAAAATATGACTTCCACTTGGATAAATAATCGAAAAAACTAGTGCAGACCCCGATTGGAATGAGTGGAACGTGAGTTTTCAAGTAGTTTTCATCGAAAACTGATTTTCGTTAGACAGATTTTACATGGCGAACACAGAATTTTTAGGGCGAAAACCAGTTTTAGCTCCGACAACATGTTTTTGATGTCGTTCAGAACATGGCAGTAGGATGTTTTTGAACCGAGTTCGGAGATGGGGCGTTCTTTGACCAAATTCTGCGATATGGTGTTATTAAATAAAATTCTGAAATCTGGCGTTCCTTCAATCAAAAAGTAGTAGGGCGTTCTTTAAAAGTTTTCTGAGATAGAGCGTTTTCGAACTGGCGGCCGAGATAGGTCGATCTTCCACTCAGATGGCGATATGTTTTCATTTATGTATATTTCAGCAATGCGCGCTCGGAATGATAACGAAACGAATGATGGGCTAATAATAATGCAAGGCACAATTAATGAAGAATTAAGGGCTACTCTATATCAGCGGGAACGACGCAGGGACCTTGAAATATTGACAACACCCAATGTACACATAAATCAGTATTCAACACCAAAAGAAGTGGAAGAATGGTTGCGCATAAAAGGTTTTTCGGATGTTATTGTAGCAAAGCTCCGCAAATTGAATGGAGAGGAACTATTTGCTCTGTTGCCACATACTATCGAGGGATATTTTGGACAGAAGGAGAGTAGGCGTTTAATTTCGCAAATAGTATTGCAAAAAAATATATGCGAAGTGAGTAAAGCTAGTTATTAGTACATGTGAAGCATTATCTTATAAATCGTACACCTTTTTTGCCTTCAGAATTTAGATTCGGCTAAAGCTCTTTATTTTAAATTGTATGCAAGAAACACCTACATATCGTTACTTAAATTTACAAAGGCGTTTTTCACAGATTGGTAGGATGTATTGAAATACACCTTCAATACAAAGTGTTAGCAGGAAAACAACGAAGCTACATGCATGGGTGTAGCTAGGTAGGGGAAGGGGGGAAAGCCCGATGCCCCCTAAATTCAAAATTTGTTTCCATATATTCAAAAATTGTACCAGGAAATGCTATCTCGATAATTTGCCCCCCCCACCCCTACTAACTTTCAAGTTTTTTCCTGTGTATATACTACATATAAAATCACACACTCAATGCTAGCAAAATAATTTGTAAATTTTCATAATTAAAAATGTGAATATGTGGATTATGCGGTTCTGTTTCAAGTTATTCTCGCTAACTTCAAAGTAATTCCATTTAAGAAAGGTAAAAACCTGGCTGTAGTCGACAATGGGCGAAAATGGATTGAACGGTAAACTGATAACTAAATTTACAGTTCAATTGTTTATTACTTTTTCTTTACGTTTGTCTTCTGAGTGTTCCTAAAATTATTTTTCTCGTAAACCCCTTTTCCAAACCCAACCGATTCCTTTAACCGCCCCCCCCCTTACCTATCACCCCACCTATATTTTGCCGACCACGCTCCCCCTTTCCCTCCTCTGGAAAGCACTTTAAGCCAGTGGTGTTGAGGTACCCGAGCCGATGGATGACTGGCCAGTAGTGGTTAAAGAACTAGTCGCTAACGGTCCCCTCCGATGCCCGGGCACGGTCGGTTGTATAAGTGCCTTACCATGGTATGCCGGCTCTGCCGGGGTGGACCACCCCTTCCGAGCATACTCGTGGGAACAAAAAATAATGAACAAAAACAATAATAAAAACAAAAAAACAAAACACAAAATTCGATGAGAGAAGAGATGTCTCGAAAGACATCCTGAGCGCAGAGAAGGATGTGCTCCTGGCTTCCAGTAGGGACTCTGCACGCTCCTCGATAACAATACCGGTGAGCGCCAAACCTAGCGATCCCAACAATACCCCATCTTCCTCAAACGCAGCGTTGTGGGCTCCAGGGAGCACTCCAAAGCAAGAAAGGAGGAAAACCAAGTCCTCGGGGGTGGCGCTCAAGTCGAGGTACAACAGGGCTGTCTTCATTCTTGACAAGATTGCCAAGAATGCAGCGGCTGGTACTGTACACCCCAAGGATGAGGAAGACACTCACAGGTGTAATGAGGTGGTTGAGGAGTACAGGAGATACCTTACTTCAAAACCAACCAAGAAGCCTGTGGCAGTTAAACGAAGCAGACGTAAGGAGAAGTCTACAACAGAACCAGATGGAAAAAGGGCGGACACGAAAAGCACGCGCCAGCAAGAAGAAACGTTGGCGAAACGACGGTACTGTGAGGTGGCCAGGGATCTCCTCCAGGTCGCGCTTGTCCACGAAGCCACAGGCACCGGTAAGCCCGTTCAGGAGAGGTGGGTCGAGATCGAGTCAAAACTCTCTGAACGGGTGGGCGACTACCTGTTTGAAAATCTGGAAAACCCTATTCCAGGATTTGACTCCAGTGAGTCCCTGAGGGGTTGCCGGATTTTCAAATGTAGTGATGAGTTCTCTAGGGAATTCCTCGGCAAGTGCGTAGCTGAGCTCCGCAACGCCTGGGAGGGTTTGAAGTTCAAACTAATCCCTGCCGAGGAGGTACCTAGGAAACCCAGGGCCCAGATTTGGCTGCCGAAGATGGCTATGGGCAGCGGCAAGTTGATCCGCTTCCTTCAACAGCAGAATCCAGAAATACCTATGAGTTACTGGGTAGTCATTCGTGCAGAAAAGCCTATAGAGGGCGCGCAGAGTTCTTCGTACCTTCTGAGGCTTAACGAAGAAAGTATTGAGCCATTGCAAAAAATGGACAATAAGCTGCTCTTTTCGGGGTGAGAACAGCGAAACTAAAAATATTCCGCTCCAATGAGCCGATTCCAGAGGCTGCTATCGAGGAGGCCAACCAGATGTTGGGCGATATAAATCTCAAGTCTACCGCGGACGAGGAGGTCGCTGAAGGTGCCAACCAGGTGCTGGCAGGCACAGAGCCAGTTAACAATGCCGATAAAGTCGATGAAGGTGGTCCAGGCAAATCTTAGGCACTCTAAGGCTGTCTCGGACAAGCTCCTGGTCTTCCTAAGGGAGGAAGACGTCGACATCTCGTTGATACAGGAACCTTGGGTAAGAGACCTAGAGGTTAAGGGACTCACCGGCGCCCGCTATAACCTCTTCTACACTAGTATATCAGGTAAACCCCGCGCGTGTGTATTGGTTAAAAAACATATTAAAGCTTTATTATGTTCCAATTTTTATCTCACCGGATACTACAGTCGTCAACCTGGAGTTGATGAATAAACAAAGCTGTCTTATATCATCAGTATACATGGCGCACGACAGGGCGTGTCCGCCACAGGAAGTCGTCACTTTACAAAGCGTAGCAGGAGCTAGTCCAGTGTTATTAGGCTGCGATGCCAATTCACGACATACATTATGGGGCAGCTCGGAAACCAACGAAAGAGGTGAGCCGCTATTTAAATTTATTATTGATTCTACGTTTAGGATTTGTAATAGAAGTAGTACCCCCACTTTCATATTTCCTAGTGCCCCTGATTTTGCGGTTGGGAAGAGGTCCTAGACCTAACTCTGCTGACCGAGCGGAGCCTAAAGGTCCATAAATGGAGAGTATCCGACGAAGAGACCCTCTCGGACCACCGTCAAATACTCTTTGAGCTAAATATTGCGGCGAATACGCCTACTCCCTTAAGAAACCCTCGTGAAACAGATTGGGACTTCAAAAGGTTATTGGAAAAGAACTGAAGAAACTACCAGTTGAAGACATTCCTACAAGGGGCGTGCTGGACGCCAAAGCGGACAGCCTGAATAAGGCCTTCGGAAGGGCCCTTACAAAGGCTTGTCCGCTGAGGTATGGCAAGAAAGCGCGCACACCTTGGTGGAATGAGAACCTTACAGCGCTACGGAAGTAAGTAAGAAAATCCTTCAACGAATGCTACAGGATTAACGTATGAGACGTATACAGAGAGAACCTAAGGAAATACAAAAACGCGATACGGGACGCCAAGGAGGCGTCCTGGAGAGAATTTTGCGAATCCATCGAGGATACCAAGGAATTTGCGAAATTAAGCCAAATCCTTGCCAAAGGGCACTCACAGCCAACATATATAAAAAGGTCAGATGGTTCATGGACGGAGTCGGCTGGGGAGTCGCTGGATATCCTTCTGAATACACATTTTCCAGGGTGCAAAATCGATTTAGTAGAAACCGATGCCCCAGACCATATACCAACCCTCTCCGAGGACCTCTTAAAGGAGCTACTAGAGAGGGAAAAGATAAAATTTGATATCTTCAGCTTCTCACCCTATAAATCATCGGGTATGGACGGGATACTACCAGTCATGCCTCAGAAAGCTTCTGAGATGGTCATTCCAGTTCTATAAACAATTTTNTCCAAGTTATGCCTCAGAAAGCTTCTGAGATGGTCATTCCAGTTCTATAAACAATTTTTAGAGGGTGCCTAATACTGAACCACGTTCCGTTAAGTTGGAGGAAGATTAAGGTAATTTTTATTCCTAAAGCGGGCAAACGGGGCCATGACAATGCTAAATATTTCCGACCAATAAGCCTAATGTCCTTCGTGCTCAAGACGTTTGAGAGGCTGTTGGATCTGTATGTTAGGGACAAGGCGTCCAATTTATCATGCTCTCAACATGCGTACTTGAAAGGGAAGTCAACGGAGACTGCCCTACATGAAGTGGTACGTACAATTGAGAGGTCGCTCTACTATAAACAATTTACAATGGCGTCCTTTATATAAACCGAGGGGGCATTTAATAATGCCAGTGTAGATTCCATCCATCGGGCACTTATGGAAATGGCGATTGATCACTGTGTCCGGGCTTGGATAGTGTCTCTGCTAAGGAGCAGAGTAATACATGCCGAATTGGGGTACCAAAGCAGGGTCGTATATGCAGTGAGATGCACCCCACAGGGAGGAGAGCTATCGCCGTTACTATAGCTCATGGTCTTAAACAAACTACTGGTAAAGCTGGACTCTCAGAGAATCAAAGCGGTGGCTTACGCCGAAGATGTAGCGATATTGATATCGGACCCCTAGGGGTCCACCCGAACCACTTTGGAATCCCTGTAGTATACGGAAAATTTAATTTTTTTTAGAATAACGTCTTGTCCGGCTATTTGGTATACATGTATGTAGAGATATGAATTTAAAAAATACATTAGATTTTAGTTGAGATATTCGCCTTTGACCACTATGTTCTGTAAATTTCCAAGTACTACAAAGCTTTTGCCATTATTCACTTGGAAGAGGCCAGAAGTGAATTGTTTGCTTACGGTTCAAATCGCAGCTCAATTCGCAAGCATATTTATATCCACGTATCCCCTGGGTATAGACCAAATACTCTTTTCGGAGCGAGATAATGTGACAAGACGTATAACCTCGCGTGCGCTGGGTTCAGGTCCCTGCACGTTGAAACACCACCCAATGGAAAAAAACATGCCTCGGACGATACCCCCTTCTTTCGATGACGATCACGGCAAACGTAGAAAGGGCTATGATTTGAGGGTATGCACCTGGAGTATCCGGACCCTTAATAGGGATGGCGCCTCTGCTCGGTTGGATGATGTCCTCGGCCAAATACAGCGTGGCGACGAATAACTGCTACCTAGGTTTTTTGAGATATAAAGGGGTCCTTTATAGATTTTGCGAAAAAAGAATTTTATTGTAAATTTTCCACAGATTTTACTTTAGTTACATTAATTGGTTTTTAAATTTTAATCCTTATTTACATTTGCCAGCAGTATAAACTTTGAGAGAAAAGTTCATTTGGCACGCAAGTCTTTCAC